TGCCAGGAGGCCCCTTAGACAAATGTTGCTCAGGGAAGGTAACTCACACCCTGTACTTCTGCAGCAAAGTGTTGGGTCCAGAAAAGAGCCATGTGAGAACACCCCATTGAGCAGTAACTTCTAATGGCTGCACCACTGCTGTAAATACAACTGATGGCATTGCACTCCTGCTTTTCTGGCTAAACCCCAACCATGGAATCTCAGAGCAGGACACCTCTGCAGTGTTACTGCCTCTCAGGAGGGGAACATCAAAGGTGCAGGACAGGGAGCAGCAGGAGATGTCACAGCATTTATTTGTCCTGTTTTGAGTCTTCTCATGTCTGTGTTAAAGGACACATATACCCAGTGCAGTGGTTTCCATACCAGTGGTTTCCGTACCAGGCTGATAGGCTTTTCCCAGTGAAAATGCAGAAGTTCCAGGAGTTCCTTATTAAGTTTTAAGATCTCTTCTGATTCTAAGGAAATTGGAAAACAGAAAATAAAAACCCCATATGCTTAAAAAAAAAAGGAACTGAACAAAAAGCAGTGTCTTTTGAGATTAATGGGGTGTCCACTGGTTTTCTTGGGAAGAGGTCATTTGATGTTTTGCCTAAGAGTAATTCCAATGAAGAATGGCTTCTCTTTTGTTTTTAAGACTCTCTGGCCCTTTTATTTCATTGTGACCTTCCAGGTAACAGCACAGATTTAGTACTGAGGGGGTTTCATAGCTACTCCATGGGTCAGACTCTGAAGAGAGTCCCGGCAGCCCTTCCACTGTTATTTTTCTAACATAAATACCGGCTGCTTCAGAAGACATGTTGCCATATTTTTTGCACATCTGGAACAAATGCTCCAATTACCAGATTTTGTGAAATCAAATACAAGAAAAACAAAAACAAGTTACAAAGACAAGAAGGCAAAAGATTTACTGCTAATGAGATAGAGTATTTCTCAAAGCAAAGGTAACAACAAGGGGAAGTTAGGGCAATAGTGAATTTTTAAAAGACAAACATGTTGAATCAGGTGGCCTTTATCTCTCTCAGAAATCTTACTGCCTTTCCTTCTTTGGCATTTTCTTCAAACACCCTTCCAACACCCTCAGGCACAACATGGGACAAAGACCTCCAATGAAAAAAACCCACATAAACCAGTACAAGTCCTGTAATCATAGGAATGAAAGGCAGTTTTTCTAGTGTCTGTCCTGCAGTTGCTCTGATGCTCTGAGGAGTTCACTACCAGAGACCATCTGAACACCAGTGATTGCAGTTTCAGCTGCTTCCATGGATGTGCATGGCAAGAAGAGGAGATGACATGTATTTATTTTGGAAATCACTAAGTGTATATGCAACCTTCCAAATGTTTCTAGAAGTTTACTGATCTCCCAGAAGGTGTTTCTGGGAACACAAGGATTTTTATTTATGCTCTTCAGAGCTGTGAACTGAGAGGAGTATGCTATGCTTTGACATTATAGTTACAGCTGTAGACATAATTCCATAGGAATTACCCTTTTTAAACTTAGCTTAGATTTAATTTTTTTGATAAGCAAACAATAACAATGTGTGGTTAGATGATTTTGATCTAGAATTTTCTGTGAAGGAAGGGTGGTGGGGTTGTTGTACTCTGCATATATAAACAAAACACTAAAGTTTATGAAGCTCTAGATATTTGTACTTTAATCCATTAATGTATTATTTCATTTCACATGAAGTATTGAATGCAGATATATTTTAAAGGCTTTTTATTTATGACTTTCATCCTAGTTTGTGCAGCTGTATATAGAGAAAGATTTAAAGCTACTTGGAAGCTAAAAAGTTTGTTGCAAATGCATTTGCACAGATGCCTTGTTCTTATTCTATTTGTTCTCTTCAAAAGTATTTATATGGTAACATATCAGAACCTCAGTTCATCAAGAATTGGCCAGGAGGAGCAGGGAGAGAGAGAGAATCCAGGGAAGTGATGGTACATGACATTTCTGAAAATCTTTTAACTCTGATACCTCTACAAGGTTTGTTTGTAGTCATTGCACTTTTATTAATTTTAACTCCTTAGTTTTCCAAAGCAAATATAGTGAAATCGTGGATTTGGCAACTGTAACTACCAGGGTCACTTTTGGGAACATGTTACTCAGTTCTGATTAAAGATGGAACTGAGGGGGGAAATGGAAAATCAGACACTGAAGCCCTAGATGTTTGCTGCATATTCTCAGAAACATGTGTTGCTTATTCTAGGGGAGGATTAAAAGTGTTATTCTATTAATCACTAGCTTTCACAGAATTATCTCTCATTAAGAAAACTGATATGATTTGTGCAACCTTAAGTAAATACAATAAGATTATTATTTCACATAGTACCTGTTAAAACAAATACACATCATTAAAAAAACTAAGTAGTGATATTTGTTGTTACTGTGGACTGTGGATCGGAGGGAAATGAGACAGACAGCAGCAGGTGTGGCTAAAACCCTGATATTTATGCCTCCACTGAAGCACTTCCCAGTGGCACCTAAAGGGGATAAATATTACTGAGGAACTTAAAGCCCTGTGGTAGAAAAGGGACCATGTTGAGAGGTCAAGTATATTTGATGCTACCCCTCAGATGCATTCAGTGAACAATGAGGCAGTAATGAGGACAGGAAAATATCTACTCAGACTTTTTATGCATCATTAGTCAAGCCACTGGGTATTATGGTTGAACTAAAAAAATCAAGGAAAACAAACTAATTTTGGATTATACCACATTTTTTTCATTTTCTCTTCAGCAAAACAATAAACTGAAAAGAGGGTTAACCAGAAACAAAACTTTTTGTCTTCAGTTTATTTAGTCTTCATTTTAGTAAGTTAAATTTGAACATTGATAGTTTTGTTCTGAAAATGCTGTCTTACCCAAATATATTTGCTTTCTGAACATTTTTTCAGAAACTATTTATTAAATTTGACCCAATTTCATGACTGCTTTTATTCTCCCTTCATGATGTGTTTAAGTGGTTAATCACATCCTCCATTGCCATTATTTTATTTCCCAGGAACAAAGACTACTCATATTTTCTCCTTTTATCCTCCTAATTGAAATGCAGGATGCCTCATCACCAAAATACTTGAGTGTGTTCCATATTAAACAACACCCTCCACAAAACCTCTTCACATAGAGCAACAATGTCAAAATAAGAAATCTGTGTATGTGCCCAAGTGAAACAAGGTGAGGGTGGAGAGATGGTTTTTGTATGTGATCCCAAAAAAGGTATTTGTCCATCCTTTTTGAGGTTCTTCCCTTAGTGAGCAAGTTGGGGAACAAAGGTGGTGCAATCCCCCAAAACAAAGACAAGTAACTCTCAGGCAGCACCAAACTGACACAGAGTTTGTGTTCCAAGTCAGTTCTGAATCAAAAGGGAGGGGAATGCATGTACACTGTTTATCTGGTACAGACAGAGAAGCAGGAACCCACACTCTCCAGTACTGATAGCTGTGGTCTACCAAGTTTAGCAGCAATTTCATTTTTTCCCCAGGACACACATGTATGTGTTTTGCTCCTTGCTTTAGCAAGCTGCAGTAATTAAGGTAACAAATCCACAGGCAGCCCACACAGAGTTCCGTGGTTCAATGTACAGTTTTTCTGGCTAGTCCCTGATAGGAAGATGAAAGTATTTTAAAGCCAAGGCTAATTTGGACAGCTGCTCTCTATAAAGTCAACAAGATCATAATAAGTCTACTATTAGTTTGACAATTGAAAGCCACACATCCCACACGAGGGAAAAAAAATGCCAGTTCATTCATTTTGTAAAGCCTTTTCCCTTTTTTTAGACAAATGATCTCCAACTTGCCCAGCCTGAGCTTCAGTTAATTGTTTTGCCTCTCTGAGCAATCCTGAAGGGGACTGTGCTAAATTCAGAGTAAAGAGGATGCCTTGCTTTGCTTCTGAGGTGGTTCTGTGCAGATATTTGATAAGGCAGAGCACAGGAAGGAGCTGTTTGAGATGCTGCAGTGGGAGCCCCGGAGATGGAGGAAGGTGCCCACTATGACTCAGAGCCAGATATCTCAGCACAGTTCCCATGTAAATGAACTGAGACAGAACTATAATGTTTAGTTGCTAATTACATTTAGACTCCTTTGGGGAACCCCCCAAGATTTCTATGAATGTACAGTTCCAGGCAGTGAACAGACAGAATTAATCCATTGGTTTGCTCTAACAAGGGACCCAAAATGAACAATTACTTACACTGCTGTGATTGCCCTTCTTCAAGGTTAAATTCTCCTTACAGATTCCACTGTTGTTCTTCACATGAGATGATTTTTCATTGAGGAGCAGTGAAAGCTGTTACATGATCTGTCCACTTATTTATTCTTCTAAATTAACAATACTGCTTTGGGTTAATGATAATGATTTTTTTTTCATTAGTGGCATCTTTATCCTTCATAAACCACATATTAAAAACAAAATTTAAAAATTAAACAATGAAAAAAGAAAACCTGGGAGAGTCTTTGAAATTTTCCTTATCATAACTGATCTTTCAGCATTGACTTTTCATGACAGATTTATGTAACAAAAACTGGTTTTTCTCCCTACCTTTCCCACATTACCAAGTATTATTCCTACTGCCATTACAACATTTTTCCCAATGACTTGATCTGAATTTCACTTGGTTCAGTTTAATCCCCACTTTCTGCCATTGGTGTGGTGTTTGGATTTTTCTCTGCATTCTCCCTCTACTTGAGGCTTGACCAGCATCCAAGTTGCACAGTATAATGTTGCTGTTAATTCATATTTAGGGTGCATTCCCAATACAGTCCATTAGCCCTTGGTGTAGAAATGTTCCTTACAATGACGTTCTCCAGCACAGGCTGATAAAATTCATTCCTTCAGTGTAAGAATCCTGACTTAATGCCCTTTCTTTGCTTTTTTTTTTAATTGGTGCATTCAAAAATTTGTGTAAGTTGGAGGCAGCAAAGTGGATGTACACTACTGCAGACAAGATCTTTGCTGTGAAATACTGCAATTTGTTGTCATTAGTTTTCTGTTCAATGTAGTTTCAAGGCACAAAGAAGACTGGGGAAGCTTATAGGGACAAAATACGTGTGTGGATTCAGGAAAATGATCAGAACAAACAAAGCAGCAAAAGCCACTTTATTTGGGTCTTTGAAACAAGAGGTAGCTGAGGAATGTAAAGCAAGAGTCTCATTTTGCAGCCAGACCTTCAAAGAAATTGTGCTTTCATTGACGATCTCAGACTCTCTCTTGTTTCTTCACACTGGAGCTATTGCAAGTACCCAGATCAGATTTGAGGATGTGTTTATGTCTCTCTTAATGTTTTCAGAAGGGGCAGTGGCCTTGCTGTCAAAATACCACCGGGGCTCTGTGTTTCACTCCTGTACTGCCAGGTCTGTTCATGGGAATTCTTTCTAACACAGTTTTGGTTTTTCCTTTTAGGTAGAGAGGATTGTAGACAAAAGGAAGAACAAGAAGGGCAAATGGGAATATCTGATTAGGTGGAAAGGCTATGGGAGCAATGAGGACACCTGGGAACCTGAACACCACCTGCTCCATTGTGAGGAATTTATTGATGAGTTCAACAGACTGCACGTTACCAGAGAGAAGCGATCCCGGCACGGCAAACAGGGCAGCGCTCCCAAACTGCTGCGGGAAAGCCGAGGCTCGTCCGTGGAGAAAATATCACACAGACCTTCTGAATCTGGGAAGTCTAAAGGATCAACACACAAAAGGAAGAGAATTAATCCATCTCATCAAAAACAGAAACGAGGATATGCAGCAAAGCCAGGATCTGCAAATGACAGGGCTGCTAAAACTGTGACTTACCGAACTACTCCCAGCGGTTTACAGATTATGCCACTGAAAAAGCCACATAATGGTCTGCAGAATGGAGATGGCAGCCATGAGAAAGATTCTAGACATTTTGGGAATGGCTCACAGCAGCAAAACGTGGATTTAAATGATCACGAAGGAGAACAGAACTTGCCCAGCGTGTTGGAAGTCAGTAACAATTCCCCTGTGGTGAATGGCATTGGTATGTGATTTACAGAGCTCCTCTGTGCGGGAGGGAGAGGGCGTTCATTGCAAGTAGGGCCCACTCGTGGAAAAACTGTTGTCACACAACTGATATGGTGAGAAGCACACAAACAAGTTCCACACTTTCCCTACATATTACACACTTTTTTTATCAGTTGGCTTCTCTCTTTCCCTTTCCCACAGAGTGATGGTGAAGCAGTGTGGGCTCTGTCACGAGATTTGCAGTGTAAATCCCCATGGGAAGTGAGGACAGGGCATGGAGTAGGAATGACAACTGAGATGTATGTAGTGCTGCAGCTCTGGGTTTGTGTATCACCATGTAACAAATCACTACTCAGGTGTGCTCAAACCCAGTGGTCTAGAGAAACCAGAATTATTTTAGAATTAATACCACCCTTGCTAAAGTCCCCTGGTAAGTGTGGCTGAATAACATTCAAGTTATTCAGTATTAATGCTTGTCATAATCAGGAACACTCCAAACAGCCAGGTCCTTGTCTCTGACAGCGACTGGACACATCACAAGTCTTAAGACAGACTTTAGAGAAAGGTACAAACAGTCTTGAAGTGAACAAGAAGATATAAGAGACATTTCTCTCTAATCATCATAGTTACTGACTGGCTTAGTTCTCCAAGAATAAGGTTTATATTCTCTATAAAAACTATTCAACTTATAGGAAATTAAATAGCTTCTCATTATCTATATGTGTCCAATCTTTAATCCTACCAAATTTCCAGCCTCCATAGTGCTTTGTGACAGTTATTTTTAGGAGCTAACAATAAGATGCACATCTTATTTGACCAGGATTTGGGATTTTGTTGGGGGGCGCTGACCGTTCCTTTGACTGAGTGGCCTCTTGTCCCTCTGAAGGGATGAGTGGAGGGTGCCCTGTCAGTCTGTGGGCAGCCCCAGCCCTTTCAGCCTTCCTACCACCTGGAAGGCTTTGCTGATTCCTGAGAGTTCTGAGTATCTCCTTGTGCCATTGGTGTGGGGGGTGGTTTTAATACCCTTTGAAAACAGCAGGAGCTGTTCCAAATGATTTCCCACTGCTTACTGATACAGTGATGATAGAACCTTTGGAGAATTATTTTTTCTGCTCTTACACACTGCATAAAGGTTTTCATTGAGTGATCCACAGTTGCTCTTGGGGTTTTTTTCCTTCCTTGTTACAGTTAATTTAGAACACAGCTTTATGTATGATCCCTTTCACTATGCATTTAATCTGCTTTACTGTTGCCAATTCACCTTTTTATTTTGATTCAGTGAAGCTCTTCAAAATCTTTCCCAGTTTTCACTCTACTTATTTTGTATTGCCTTCAAGTTTTCCTCTCATATTTCTCTTCCCAGCTCATTAATACATACATTAAATAAACTAATCCTCCTGCAGGTCCTTGGGACAGCCAGCTTGACATGATGAAAAGTAACCATTTGTTCCAATTATTTATTTTTATTAGCTACTTTCTATAGCCCATGATAGTACTCATTTCCTTAACAGCTTCTGGTGAATTGCCCTGCCAAAAACTTTTCAGAAGTCAACATAAATTATATCACCCTGCTTTCCATCTTCCAGCCTACTGGCAGCCTGGCAAATGCTCCTTGATTTGGGAAGGAGAACTGACCTTGCCCAGTCTTACTGCCTCTATGTGACAGCTACTGGGATCTTTCAAACCAGGCACCAAATAATGCTACTAAAAACTCCCAAACCAGCAAAATGCATGGTCAGATTTAAGTGCATAAGTACTCCTGATGATGCCAATGAAATTTGAAGTTAAATCACTTAAAAGTGTATTTTGTCTTTTGCATTTTGAGGAGTTTGAGCTCATGTAAGAATGCTTAAAAGTTACCTGCTTCTTTAAGATAATTTGCATATCTAATTACAGATGTGTATAAGGTTTTGGTGGTTTTTTTTTTTTACTGTTTCTAATTAAGTTTTTCTAATATTTCATGTTATTAGTGGAGAAGTTCTGATACAAAATGTATCTTTGAAATGCATAAATTGCCGTGTTTTAGAATTTTTTGTTTAATGAAGAACTGAAGGGTCACAAAAAACTGTAAGGTCAAATGAGCCTCTCCTTTGTCCCCACAAGAGCTAAGGAGTGGCCTCCATCACCCCTGATTGAATAATCTCTGGTTCAGGGGAAAGCTGCTTTGCCTTAGCAGCCAGGTGTTCTCTCCTGGCCCAAGAGCTGATCTCTGCAGCTCCTTTCACACAGCTCTTCATTACAGCTTTGGTGTTCTCCAAATCCATCACTTGGGTTCTGTATTTTCTTCCCCTTGCATTCTGTAGGCAAAAGGAAGAGATCTTTAAATCTCTGTCTGGTTCTTTTCTGAAAAGCCCAAACTCAGCAGCTCTGCCCAGGTCAGGAATCCCTCGAGTCCTGCTGTGGGATACCCAGCACATGCAGAGTGGAGAAGGCTACAAAGGAGAGATGAGACTGTCTGAGGAATAGCAGACAGAAATTGGTGAAGAAGGGTCAAAATCAAATCACTAGGTTTTTTCTTAATATTGCCCTGCAAGCTTGAGAGGAGCCACATTTCCTGATCCAGGGGTCTGAAACATCAAGTGGAAGTAACTTGCACTACTCTTCACCAAGTCCAACAATTTCCTGAACTCCCTCAGTATTCACACTCACACAGAGAATGCCAGTGTGATCCTGCCCTGTGTCCCATTATTATCACAGAAACCCACACTAAAACCAGGCTGAAATTTTACAAATTACAAATGAAGAAAGTTTCAGAGAAAAATGCCCAATTTGTTGAATAACTGAAATTTTGTTCCAAACATTTTGGGTTTCAAAACTTTCTCCAAATGTGAGCCAAGGTCCTAAGGCTGTGTCCCTGGGGAGCAGGAGCAGTGTGGCAGTCTGCTTGGCAGGACTCCCACGTTCAGCTTGGAGGCAGCCAGCTCTGCCAGAGGTTTCAGGCAGTCTGCCACTGAGTCTGCAAGTTGAAAGCCTGGCATGCTCCAGCAGTGCTTGCAGGGCTCCCAGGCACTAGATGTGGAACAAAGAGGGAGCCTGGAGGACCTGGTTTGGCTCCCAGAAGCTGTGGCTCCTGGGCAGCCCTGTTCAGAATCTGAGGGAGCAGACATTTGTGTCAGCCTGGAGATTGCCTGTATGGAACCCAAATGAATGTCAGATTCATTTCTCAGCTAAGTGTAAGACTGCACAGAAATTATGAATAGAAATTCAAGGTTTGTCATGACATAAAGCCTAGATTTGGAAAAGTCAGAAATTCCCTACAATTTACAAACCTGGCTGTAGGCCCAGCTCTGCTACCAGTGTGGGTCTGTGCTTGAAGGTCTCCAAACCCACCAACCTCAACCAGTATTGTTTCATATTATAATACTGTTTAACCACTAATGCATTGAACCAAGCAATATAGACAGTAACATTAAAACTAGCAGTAATCAAATAATGGCTATTTTGTTTGTCTGTCCATGGCAGTTCTGTTCAAACAAATAACACTCTTTGAAAACCAGCTTTTGATGACTCCTTAAATGAATATCCACCAGTCTCTCTGGTTTTGTGTATAAATCCACTTGGCTACAAGTGTTTCTTCTTCTGCTCTAGACAAACTCCATCAGGAAGCTCTTTACCCCAGAAGGATGAGTGGGTACCTACAGGTGTGTGCACAAAATGTCCCAGTGGAGGCCTGGGACCATGTGGAAGTAGAGACAGATCTTTAATACCAAAAACTGTCTTCTACACATCCTGCCATAAGGAAAGCAGAATCATCTTTACTGACAGTTATTTAAGGGTCTGCAAATTGGAAAATATTGAAAAACTCTGTGAACAGCATCCATTGATGCTCCCAGGAGCTAACAGTAGTGGTCTTTCTGATGATATTTGTTGTCTTCTGTTATCACATTTCTGTTTTTCTCCAGATATTGTAATTGAGAGTTATTGTTTTGTCAAGTTTCTTGACAGCATCAAAAAACATCCCCTTTTAATTTTATCTTTCCTTTTTTTACATCTCTCTTTCTGTGTACCATCTGCTGAAGAATTTCTGCCTGTCATGTATCACTAACCACTGTTTTTCTCCACTACAAAAATCTTTGTAGCCTCATGGTGCCCTTGATTTAAATACTCTCTGTGACTTAGTCACTGCTTCCTCTTGGTTTTTTAGCTCATTCTGTTTTATTTCTTCTGAAGGAATACTGGCAGTAAAAGACAAGCAAATATGCATGCTCTCTTACTTTGGATAAAAACTCATTGCTTTTAGATATCTTACAGATGCTCCCTTAGCTGGAGAAGTCTGAAATTATTAGTAAATTATCAACAGAACAGCTTTTAAGTATGTACAGTATTAACCATTACCCACAAGAAAGACAGAAAAGAGGCAGTTAAAGGCTGTTGGGAAGGCTGAGGAATGCCAAGCTGCTTTTCCAGGGAGAGTGAGGGAGCATGGCTTATTTCACCTAGAAAAATTAAAGCCTCAGCTCCATCATCCTTTCCATCCAGCAGAAATGCATACTGCTAATAAAAGCAGCAGTCCAGCTCTCCTTCCCATGACACCCTGATTGTTATTCCCATCCCTCCCTCTGCACCAGTTTTAATACTTTTGAGGCTGCAAGGTGAACTGCATCTGTTTGAAAATTAACCAGTTGTGCAGGGTGAGTTTTCAGCCAGAGCACATCACCAACTCATGGTGTGGCTGTGCTGGGGTTGCTGTGGAGGGTGGTGGCACAGGGACTGCACCATTAAACTGGCTCTGATGAAACATTCAGAAAATAAATGTACTCAAAAAATGTATCTGAAAATAAAAAAATAACAGGAGCTTGAGGTGTCCTCCAGCAGTGGGCAGAAGCAGTGAAGGAGATGTGGAGCTCCCCCAGAGCACTGAGGATCACTGCAGTCTTTCCTCCCTTTCCTCTCCCACTCTTTGTCTGTCTCGGCCTTTTAGAATATAAATTTCTAATGTGTTTTCTTCAGTCCCAGGGAGAATGGAACCCCAGTGTCAGAGCCTTTGGCAGTGGTGCAGTGCTGTAGAAGATGCAGGGATGGGCAGCTGAAATGAAGAGGATTACAGGAATAAAAGAGCCTTGGAGAGGGGGTGGCTTAGGGCAGCACAATCAAAGTTTACAAAATCATCAAGGCCTCAGATATACTAAATGCAGAACTGCTGCTCCTGAAATCCCTTGATAGCAGAACTAGGACCACTCACTGAAACTGGTGGAACATCAGATAAAAGCACAGATGAAAGAAAATTCTTCTCTGTGTAGTGGCTACCCAACTTCTCAAACTCATACCACAGGAAGCTGTGGAGACAGACAGCATCAACAGGCTCAGAAGGGGATTAGAGAAATCCATGAAAAGGTCCACAAGCAAACACTGAAGGAAACAGGAGGGATGAGCCCTCTCATATTTCTATACAACATTTGGGGATGATACTATGGGAAAGGACTGCAGAAAGCAACCAAGCTTGCATTTTGTCCTTAAATAGCATCCTTTACTGCCCTCTTTTACTGCCATTCTTGGAGAAGGATTACTGCATGCAGCAGTGGTCTGGGAACTTCTTAGGTTGCCTTAAAAAATATTGAAGCTTCTTACAAATATAAATGTTGGCTTAGGTATTCAACAAGTTCTAGTGCTGATTAAATACAAAGTAATAATTAGATTAAACTCCCAGTAAAGAGCATTTTCTCCCATTTTTTTTCTGTTTTCTTTTTGTATTTAGACCGAGCACCAAATACTCACTATTAAGCCAGAAAACCACACTTAGATGTATCTAAAGCTTCCTTAGTTAATTGGTGACGTCCTTAATTTGTTCCATGTGCAGTACAAATTCCTTTGGGTCTCTGAATGTCGCTTTTTGCCTGTCACAGTCATTTTTGGTGCTGCTCCCCTTGCATGCACGGGTGCTGATATTGCCCCTCATGCAGGGACAATCCCAGTGGCTCCAGAGCAGGAGCTCCAGCACCTCCCACAGTGCTCAGCGGGCCTGGTGCCACAGCAGGGCTGTCTTTAGAGTGTGCTGATCGTTTTCTCCAGTTTATCCGATTAAACCAGATTACAGGGGTGCACTGGAGACACAGGAACAACAAGCTACTCACTATATATTGTTCTCTTAATGATCCACTTTTGGAAATGGCACTTTTTCATTTATGTTTTTCTCACATTGAATTTAGATCTTTCCTCTGATTAAATTTCTTTGAGCTGGCATCCAGATAGTTAAAATACTATGATAAGATCTATAGTTCCTTACATCATGCATTCATTTACAAGCTGAATACATAAGAAAGAATAAAACAAACAAAAAAAATTACTGTGAGACTTTTTGTTGAGCTGGATTATCTGAATGAATTAATCTTCTACTATTCTTTTACCATCTGTATTTAAAATAGATGTAGCATATCTTCCAGGTAGATAATCAGTACAGTTAGACTGACACACCTTCCATTCTATGGGCATTTGTGCCTCTGATTTTGTAAGTTATTTACACTTTTTTTGGGAGTTTGAAATCACAATTCAGTAGCTTATTGCTTGTTAAGCACTGAATAGATAAAAGTGTAATATTTAATAGCCTGGCTCAGTCAAAGGGTTAATTAGTTTCAGTACATTATTCCCAATGACATTGGTGTTCTATTAGTAATTTCAAAAGATGATTTCTGTTGTAAGAATACACTAAAAAAAAAAAAAACCCTTAGGAAAAAGAAGAAACATGCCATAAGAAATTATTCATAGCATTTAAAGTTCAAGCACATGGTAATTTCTACACTTGTGGACACTTTTTGTCAAGAAAACAAATTTCCAATTCTTTTGGTTTCAAATGATTTTTTTAAAGTGATGATTTAATGGAATTTGGCCATGTTTGCATTGCACCAGGCAAATCCTCTATTCTGTATAACCCAGGCAATGCTTTAGATGGTATCTCTTAATTCAACAAGAACAAAGAGTTTCCTGACTGACTGAAGAGCTCCTGGAGCAGGTGGATCCCTGTGAGCAGATGTGTGAGTGCCCACACGCACGCACCACATGAGCCCTGTCACACCCGCTGGGCACTGGCTGTGTTCTCACAGCCCATCTCCTGACTGCAGTGCACACACAGCATTTCACACACTGGGAACAATTCCACAGGCCACTGCCAACTGGGAGGTGTCAGACAGATCAGTTACCTACGTAAGCACCAGCTGAAACAGAGCTAATCCAAAATGAGGGTAAGTGATTTTGGTTGAGAGGCATCTGTCATGAATTCACTGCTCAATTCTATTCCAGCAGAGCAGTTTTAATTGGATGGTGGTCACTTAAACTCTAAAATTTAAACCTCTATTCTAATATTCATGTTATCTGCCCTTTAAAAATTCCTGGATATTTGAAACCAGGAGCTGGAACAGGTCAGCTTTGGCAGGAGTAAAGAACAGAGCAAACAAAGGTGTTTTCATTCAGCTCTCTCTTGGCCTTTCTTAAAAATACTGCATTGTGGGCTGGTATCTATATAAACAAAAACCAGTGACTTTAATCTCTGTCCCTCAACAACCTGTCTCTGCTTTATTTTTAATGGCAATAGTGTGAAATATCTGTAATTAGAAAAGGATTATTACATTGAAACCTTATAAAGCTCCTTCAACATCCCCACTCAGCGCTGTTACCAATCATCATCTATTAACTATTACAGAAACTCTGTAGACATCAACAAAGGAATGGTTTGCAGTTCATACACAGAGTAAGTCAGAATAAACTGGCTTTTAAAACTGACTTACTATCGCTCTTACTTGTTTTTAAGGAGGAATTACATCTTTCTTCTCATAGTTCTCTTTTTTCCCTACTGCTGGATACTCTCCAAAATGGCATCAGTTCCTTGGGTCTAGAGGTTGTCTGATCAGAGAACAAAAAGTTCTGCACATTGGAGTACAGAATAAGAACAATGGCTTGAGGCCACATTTGACTAGCCAGGCACTTTTTTTAAATTTATTTTTTCCTGTTGTTTTATATTTATCTGTTTTCACTGAAGCTAATAGAGAGTATCACTCCATTTCTTTGATGGTATAGAGGTAATTACGCTTCAATTCTTTCCATCTGCAAGGTTCTTCCCTGACCAATGGAAGCTTGAATCTACACAGCACTGTGAAAAGGAAACTCGATGGAGAGAAAGATTATGTGTTTGATAAGAGACTGAGATACAGCGTGCGCCAAAATGAAAGTAACTGTCGCTTCAGGGACATTGTGGTCCGCAAAGAAGATGGTTTCACTCATATTCTGCTGTCAAGTCAGACTTCAGAGAACAATGCACTGACCCCAGAGGTAAGTGTTTAGCCCTAAAAGCCAAAGAAAGCCATCCCAATGTGTGGGTTATCTTGCAAACACTGCACTTGAATTCGATTTTATGTATTTTTTCCCTAACTGATGAACTTAGAAAAGTCTGGAGTACAGACATATCTAACTTTTTCACACTTGGGATTCCTATCCAAAAGAATGCAATGGAAATTAAATTTTAATTCACATGGCTAAAAAAAAAAAAAAAAACTAAAGGAATGGCAGAATCAGTATTTCCAGCATGGAATTGTGTGAAGCAGCTTTTCACACATTGAAGTTACTGATATTTACTATCCTAGGAGAAATCTGCTTTCTTTCCTTTTACTAATTTAAATAGTGCTCCAGTTGTATACAGAGAATTTCAGTCTATATCCTAAGACAGCCTTTCTAAATTCCATCTTGATCCCTAATTACTTTTTCTCTGAAGCAAGGTATTTATTTATGAAATCGTAACCAATTAGGAGCTCTATCCTCAGCTGAATTACATAAAGTCCTATAACATATAAAAGATAGAAATTAATTCCCTTTTCCCAAACATTATACACACAGGGGCAGACTCAGACTTGCAGCTTGTACCACCCCAGTACACACATGGATCACTGCAAGGGCTGAGGAGCTTTTCCTTCCATTCCCTGTGGCTGCAATGCCCTGGGACACCATTCCCATGGCGGAAGAAAAGGGGTGTCCATGAGTGCTGGCATCAGGATGGATGTCCTGGAGAGAAGAGGGCACACCTGAGCCTGTTCACACCTGAGCCTGTTCACACCTGAGCCTGTTCACAC